TTTCATGACTACTTGGACAAGTTTATCGTCGTGTACCTCGACGATATTCTCATCTTCAGTAGGACTGTAGAGGAGCACGCTGAGCACTTGAAAATAGTGCTAGGTCTCCTAAGACAGCACCAGTACAAGGTAAACTTGGATAAATGCGAGTTTGGTCGCACCAAGATCTTGTACTTGGGTCATGAAATTTCAGCAGATGGATTGAGGCCGAAAGATGCGAAAATGGCCAGCATACGTGACTGGCCCAGACCTCAAACTGTTACTGAGGTCAGATCGTTTTGGGGATGACGGGCTACTACCGTCCCTTTGTGAAAAACTATAGTACTATAGCTTCCCCATTGACAGATCTAACTCGACTTGACACCCCTTGGGAGTGGACTGARGAGTGTGAAGCAAGCTTCAAGAAATTGAAGTATGCTCTGACACACTACGAAGTTCTCAAACTTCCTGATCCTGACAAGCCGTTTGTTGTGACCACAGACGCTAGCCAATATGGCATAGGCGCGGTCCTTGCGCAACTGGAAGGGCCCAAGTTGAGACCGATCGAGTATATGAGCAAGAAGATGCCATCTCAGAAGTTGGCTAAGTCCACTTATGAAAGAGAGCTCTACGCCCTGTATCGAGCGCTAGTTCATTGGAGACATTACCTCCTAGGAAGGTTCTTCTACATGAGATCTGACCATGAGACTTTGCGTTGGATCAAGGCACAACCAGTCTTGTCGAACGCACTCAATACATGGATTCAAGCAGTGCCTGCCCCGTGAACGTGACCGACACCGGTCACCAACCCGTGATCGGCTGGTCACCGGGCCTAAATCCCGTGAACGTCCATTCACGGGGACCATTCACGGGGTTTACGCGCGTGAGGGCGGCGGTTCGGTCGGGATGAGGGCGGGAGGGGGGTGGTGCGGGGCCCTTCTACACCCCCGTACCTTCAAATCACAAAAAAAAAAAACAAAAAAAAAACAGAACGGGGTGTCTCCTCCAGCGATGCTGGGGGTGGTCGGGCACCTGGCGAAGCATGTGTGGAAGATCGCCCTTTCGGATGTCGATGACCATCTCGCTGTGCCGCACCTGCTGTGGGGGGTCGTGACGGCGGTGCAACCATCGTGCTGCCCCATCGATCTGCAGCACACGACGACCCGGCTCCAGGATGCTCCAACCTATCTCCCTTCCGTACCCAGCCTGCTGCGTCCGCAAACATCTCTGTCAACCTCCCCTCACGAGCCCTCCTCTCCCCCGTGACCCCAGGCATAGCATCCTTGAGTTTGCGGGTGACCCTGCTGATGCCACTCCACGATACAGACTTCCCCTTCACCTTTGATGAAGGTGATGGAGAACCCTGCACTTGCCCGCGCCCTCCTGCCGTCGCCGGCGCAGCAGAACCCTCTCCCCAACCAACACTCCAGCCCGAAAGGCCCGACCATCCGCCGATAACTTCGGGACCACCTCCCCCGCCGACAACACTGCCACCAGACTCAACTCCCCGTCCACTCACCGCCCCTGCACATGCCGGTCGTGTCCCTGCAGCAACTGGCCCTGCTCCCCATGATACCCCTCCCGGCTCGATAACCCTCTGACCTGTCAACTGCTCGAACAAGTCGGCCATCTCCATAGTCTTCCCAATATCCCCCGATACCCCCGAGGGTGCTGGCGGACTAACAAGCACGAAAGAAAATGGAGGCACAGCCTTCCAAAGCCTCTTCGATATATGCCTGCTCCTGCCCATCACTGGATCAATCCCAGCAGTGTGGCGCTCGAGTGGGGACATGCTGGGCACGTGTACCTTTACAGGGTGTGCAACAACGTCACCGGGGTCCACCTGTCACTCCTCCTCGCTGCGATGTGCATCCATAGCATCCACCGCGACAAGACCATCCTGAGTGTGATCTCCGACCACATCCTCCATTGCGGCAATGGCAACGCCGACAAGTGCTCTATACACCTGGCCTTCCACCTTCGTGCGATCGCACCCAAGCAACCCCCCTGTGTCTGTTGTGGCCGCACCGTCGCCCCCGTCCGCCTCATCAGTACTGGGTAGTAGCGTGTCGCTGGCCCCACATAAACCACGCAACCCTACTCTCGCGTCCTCCTGGTGGTCGTCCGCACGATCCACCACGTGTCCCTCTGTGCAGAGTCCTCAACCATCTGCACCATCTGCAGGACCATCGTGTCTACACTCTGCTGCTAGTCTGGCGGCAGTGACCTCCTCTACACTACACCCCATCTCCCTCGCCCTGGTCGTGTCYTGCTCCAACGCAAGGCGTTATGTCGTGGCACACCCCGGCACCATCCGTGCCAAACGCTCCTCCTCAAGCACGTCCTCAGGGCCCATATGTAGCCTCCTGGCAACACGACCGACGTCGTCACTTGTCCTGCCCTCCTGTATCTCGCCTAGCGCTCAAGCAGCCTCTGTCAACAAACCKGAACTAACACCACCAAAAACCGACCCTATGAGGTGTGCGACTTCGCTCACCGGTGTCTGAACACGCACCCCGTCGSGCCGAGCATCCGAAGYGGGTGGAYGTCCAAGGTCGAAGCCGTCACTGAAAATGCATGAGGGAATCGATCCCTGTGGTACCTCCAAACCAAACCCATGTCCGCCACTACCGCCCCCGCCCACTGCACTGGGGCCAGGAGTAACAAGGAAGGCGCCACCCGCTCCGTCCTCAATCGGCCCACTGCCATCACCGCCGTCGAATCCATGCTCGTCCCCATGTCCTCTGTCCTGGTCGGGTCCCTCTCTCTCGACGTCAAAGTCCTCGTCATCGGCGGCATCTCCGTCGTCAGACCTCTCACCTCCCTCGTCCTCGCTCGACGATCGCACAACCTGTGTCTGCTTGCCCCCTCTATCTGTCGCATTCCTAGTCAAGGGAGGGGTCATGCGATCAACATCACAATGTTTCTGCCGATCCCGCGAACGCATATCACTGGCAGCCTCATGATCACTCTCTCCGCTAGACTCCTCACCAACATCAGGTGTGTCACTGCCTCTCTGCTCCAAGTCCTCCGGGTCCGTCTACAGCTCTGCCTCCATCTCGTCTGCAGCATGCGGGTCCGTGGGTGGATCGTACTCGATCTCCTCGTTGTACAGCTCGATATGAGTTGCACGACGACCAAACACCGTCTGAACCGCAGGGGGGTGGCGAACCGTCGAGGCACGCTGCATCCTGCGCGC